AGTCCTGTTTTGTATACATAATGATGCAATGATTTCAATGGATTGAGGACTATTATTATTCATAGAATACAATGTTATATTGTTCAATTATTTTCATCCTCAATCCGTCTAATTGTCCAAAACCGGTGCAATTAACAAAGTAATACATTGTATCGCTGGGTTATAGCTTCTGGCAGACAACGAGATCTAAACATGACGCTACTTGCCGACGGATATTACCGCTTGTAAGTCTCTTCTTATCATTGCTATTTATAACTACTGGACACATTTGGTGGGGTTGATAGTAACTGGGACATGTTATGAATACATAATGTTATTATTCTAATTGCAACTTATAACAGGTCATTGTTACATTAATGTGTGGTGGAGGACCAATAACTGCATCCATATTTCCGTTGTTCTGTATCCTCCAAAATTAACGAAATTCAAAGTAGGCCTGCATGTATTAAAGATACTGGAGTATTAATGTATAAATTATTTAAATAAATATTTAATATTACACAGTTTGACGTTCAGGAAATGTGTCAAAATTTTCTCTTCAGTCTGTAGTGATATTTAAAATGATCAAAATGTTGCTGATTCAACCTATACTGTAGAGTATATTATGATGCCAGTAATATCAAATTTTACCACCATCACCATTGTAAATGACCTATGTCAAACGGCATAGCACCTGGGAAGAAGAAATGACATGAATGCGCCTTGAAGCTTGGACTGTGGATGTGAAAAAGCATGGACCTAGGTGAAATGGTGACCTGATATGAATCAATAAGAAGTGGAGGCACATATGACTTGTCAAAATCATTACAAATGCTGTTTATTTTATCAATACTATTACTAGGTGGAATTCTCTATGTAAATAGTGCGGTATTGACTGCGTCCACCTAGTGGTGCCAATTTATTGATAGATTTATATGAGAATTTATTTAAAAATCAAAATTAATTTAATAATAGGTACACATTCTTCGAATGAGGGGTTGAGAAGTTAGTATGAAGCTTAATATAATTATCAACTGTGATAAAATCACATGAATAATCAATGTAGTGTAAAATCTTTGGTCAACATATAAACAGTGCCAAATCTTTCCAAATTCTAGACTATAATGTAGTTAACTTAGACTACATACTGTACTTCTCTAACATTATCAGTAAAATCACGCTTTACTCCAGCTGCATTTAGCACTAAAACCTACCAGTTGCTTACACAGTCTCGTTATCCTTTCATTTTAATACCGTAATTTCTCGGGTAAAGCCCAAATTGTGTATATGCCCACCCCCTACTGTACATTACGCCCAATTCTACATACCAGCATTTCCTCGGACAAGCCCACAGTGTGATTACTACTATTCTCAGAAAAAATATCTTAATATTGGCTTTTAATTAGCCATACAGTTCTGAGAAATTCCCATTAGATTTAAAAGGAGATTTCTCGGGTTAAAGTTCACCCCTAAATATAGGTACAATTTTGCATTTAAGGTGCGGGGGGTGGGGTGGGGTAGGTTTATGCCAGAGGAACTATTGTGTATATAGCAAACTATACAGTTTCCAAAATTAATTCCTAAGTGATTAAAATCAGATACATAATTAACTCATGATACGGTTGGATTAAGACGGTCGCGGATGCAACAACGCGGGAATTAGAAATTTAAAAAGCAAATAAATTAACGAGTGCCTGGGTAATTATCATTAATTGCCTCTAAGTGGAAAAAGTTCAACATTAATTACTAGAAACGTAGAGAGAATAAAAAAAACAAAACAAAAAAGTATATGTAGTCATCATGTCTGACTTCTATTCAGTCAACAATTGAATAACAGAGCGGTGCAAGTTCGAATGTGACACTTATCATTAGTATTTCCGCCCGTAGATGATGCTGATTTTGAATAAAAAAATATCATATTTATGGCTTGTTACTAAAGCAGCTGCTGACTAAAAAAAACAAAACCAAAATTTAATAAAATAAATTTTGCATCTGCCGCCACGAATTCTAGAAGCAATCTTTATGCTTTCCGTAAAAAAATAAAATATCAAGTTGAATATTGAATTGTTTACATCACAGCATCGCATTTTCTATACGCGACCACAAGATAAGATCTTGACGGTGGGGACCAAAGGTTACAATTACAAGCATACGTTTTTTTTTTCTATTCCTCAGTATAATTTTACATTCGATTTCTCCACCATGTAAATGCTTTTGGCTGAAATATTTTTCTAAATGACTTCTTTCATATCTTTCTATCATTAAGTTATAAAAAAGTCTTCCATAAAATTAAAAAAAAAAAAAAAAAAAAAAAAAAAAATATTGTTTACACAATCTCAGCTACGAACAAAGAATGAGAGATGATAGATTTCTAATAGGCTATAGTTTTTGTTATTGCTTTCATCATATCTACTGTAGGTGATGATGGATTGAGGTATGTTTCATTGCTTTTATTTACTATAACAAGTCCCACAAGAGCAAAAAAATACTAGCAAAGGATGAGCGTGGCCTAGCTGGCACCAGTCCCGCTAGTCTATCGCATAAATTAAAGGCTTCCAATTGGGTTGATGGCTGGCTACGAGACTAAGCTAACAACATGTATGCAGACTCCATGAGAAACGAAGGCCTAGGCAGGTAGCACTGAGTATCTTTGACTAAAGACATATGGGGTGGAGACCCGGGTAATTGATGTAGGGTTGGCCTGGCATGACAAGCAAGGTTGTTTAATGATGATGCAAACAGTATGCAGACTCCAATCCCTAATAAGAGCTGTCATATATTAAATCAAGTTTAGATGGTGGAGCCAACCAGGAATCAGTATTAAACCACACTTTAGTATATTTATGTGGTGTATTATTACCTTGTACAAAACATAAAAGCTGAAATATATCAGAAATTGATTTTTCCCCCTATTTAAATTGTATTAATAATAATAATAATAGAAAAATTAAGTTTTAATAAGATTGACGTTTTGACTCCATCATTCTTAAGTACAAGTGAGAGAGAAAGTTTAGATGCATCTTGCATTTTTTTCAAAAAATGTTGTAGTAATTAAAGGACATGCTTAGTTTAAGAAGTAGGATTAGTATGTCTTAGGGTTACATTTCAGTAAATTTTTTTTTTTATTGGTTCGTTTTTCTTTATGCTTATGGTGAGAGCATAAGTCTCCATAACAACCATTTATTAATATCATCATTGTTAAATACTATGCATTCATACACATTGAAATCTATCTTGCCTATAAATAACCATTACATCTGACCATTATTTTAGAACCTACTTTTCCAATTTTTAACAGTTAAAACTTTATTCAAACATCAAACATTTGAATTATAAATTAATTAATGAATTTATTCTGCTTTAGTTTACAACATTTCAATGAATTATAAAAAACAATTTTCTAATTTACAAATTATGGATAATTCTTTTACAATAGCCTCTTTAAATGTCTATATTTTTATGAATAAACAAAATTAATGCACTGTAGGTACATTGTGAATGGATACTATAAAAAGCTTTATTTTGTACCGGTACCGTCAATTTAACATTACAGTATAAAACACAATGATTAACTCAATTTACATGATATAAAACTTTATTAATCATGGATACTCATCTCCAGACATTTTTTTTTTACAGTAAAATCAATCATTAAGTATTTCGATAACCGGCTATAAAAAAGCAATTTACAGGCCAAGAATTATTCATAACTAAAGGTTATGAATTCCGAATGTAATTAAAAATAGAATTGACTTGGACAATTAATTATAATTAATAATACTACAAATTGCTAATGATCAGAATTTCTTCTGTATTTTGGGTAATTGGGAAAGAGACAATATGTGAAGGTTAGGCCAAGGCGACCTATACAAAAGGTACACTACAAAGAACCTCTCCTGACTCTAATGAGTAGACCGACAGGTTACCGTTATTAGAACACTATGGGCTCCCATTTTTAGAAACTTCAGCTTGTTCCTATACTCCTCCAGGGCAACACAGCTGTAGAGTATGTTCATAATTAAGCTCAACAGACTAAAAATAACGAGTACCCATGTTGGGTGGTAGCTGTTGTGTTTCTGTTCTCAGGCTAAACGAAGCCAAAAAGACCTTGGCCTTGGCGAGAACAACCATATTTACAAATGCGGAGTGCGGTCTGAATAAGCAGAATAAGCGGAAACTATTATATGGAGCACTGTAGATAAGACATAGAAGTGGCTACTTTTCATTGGATTATTACAGCTGAACAAATTTGCAATACAAACGTGCTTTGACATATCATATAATTGTAACAAGGGGTTTGATTTATCACAGGAAAGAATCGGAGGAAATCGGAATAATAAGGCTAATTAAAATAAATTCAATTGCGGTGTGTGTGAGAAGTAAAATAGAGATCATTTAAAAAAAGGATTCACAACTTTGTTGTATATTGCGCCAAATAATTCTCTTCTACTTCCGACCCCACCCCACACCCCTCCAACGAGAATGCCACCATGCTTTCTTATTGTAAGTAAAAACTGAAAGTAGTGAACTAATCAACACAGCAAGAACTTGGCTAGCAAGTAAAAGAAAGGTCTGTAATTTTATTCCTTCATAAATATCATTCAAAATGTCCTAACAAGATATTTCATACTTTTATTTCAATTATGGCTAAAAAAAAAAAAAATCAAAACTAGCAATTAGGTCAAGTAAAAGAAAATAGTCTCTCTTTGGTTGACAACTTAATTCAGGTTGTAAGCTATTCCTTCAAACCATACCGTGGGCTTTGCTGTGAAAATTCTATTACCTCACGTAAAATCGTGTGTAATGTAGGCTGTGTAATGTTGGGTGGGCTTCATACCCGAGAAACTACTGTACTGTAGTTTATGGTATTTCATTGAATACTAAGAATTGCTTACTGTAAACAAAGTTAGCATTTTTTTTAAGCAACAAAAATTTAACAGGCTGGGAAGAGAAACAAATCTATATTTTTACTTGGCCTTATTCTACGCAATTATCAGAAAGTTTAGATTATTGTGTCTTACCTGTACTTTCATCGATCGCAAACACATTAGATACTTCATTATTATTCGCGTCCCAAATATTCTGTATTGAAAATAAAAGCTGTTGACTTGAAGACGAGTCAAGATCTTTAGCCTTCACTTGGACAACTGAACGACCGACCGGGCTTTTTTCAGCGACCTCAGCGTAGTATACCGGTTCCGTGGGTTGGGGACTATTGTCGTTAACATCAAGAATTTCAATATATGCTTCGATAGTGGTGTGGAGAGGTACAGCTCCTTTGTCCTGTGCATAGATGGTAAGCCAATAGTGTGTTGCGGATTCACGATCCAAAGGGCTTGCCGTGCGTATAATACCTGAAAAATAACAATAATAGATTTCAATAACTCAATTCAATTTAACCTTTTTTTTCCACTTTTTTAACATTACAAAATGTAGACCCTGACGAGACAAAACAAGCAAACATTACTATAAATGTTTGAATAAGCGCAGTGGCGCTTATAACATTTTTGTAGGCTTCAGTGTGGGGCTTATTTCGAGAGTGGTGTTTATTCGTGAGCGGCGCTTATAAAATATGGCCGTTCACATATTCCTGTAGTTCAGTAGGCCTATCATAGGTCCTACGTCATTGTAAATAAACATATAGAGAAATTCTTGTCTACATTGTGTTATTTATTCAATTTAACATTGCGTACATTGTATTTAAAACTCGGTTTCTCAAAGTGTTTCATTACACACAGGGTAATATACACTCTCGATTAAGTGCTGTTCGAGAGCTGCGCTTAGCTAGAAAAATCAGGATTGGTGCAGCGCTTATTTGAAAACAGCACTCATTCGAGCATTTACGGTAAGATAAAAATTCATTCAAACATCAACCGAGTACTAATCCAAAAATTCGTCCTGAAGAACAGTACAAATTCTTTTCTACTAACGTCTGAACCTTCTAAGAACGTTTAATATAAATTGTAAAATTTTTCTTTGATTTTTTACTTTATGGAAGTAGAAAAAAATATATTAAAATAGAATAGTCTGCATCATTACAGTGTGAAGTCTATTTGTTTATTAAACTTTAGTAATAATAATAATAATAATAATAATAATAATAAAATAATAATAATAATAATAAATACTACAGAAACTTGATTCACCCAGAGGGTGTTTTTTTATCAAGGCCGTGCCAGCCATATGAATAAAAGTAGCATAATCTAGAAACACATAGTAATTAAATATCAAAAATAAAAAGCAAGTTCTTAATGCTAGAGTATGAGGGTTTTTTTTAATGTAAGATGCACAAGTTTTATTAAGATTTACATGAAAGTTTATTTCAACAATAACAATTATAAAATAGAAATAAAATACTGATATATATATTATAATTCATAAACGATGCTGGAAAGATATTCAAACAATTAAAAACAATATAATCTCCTGAAGGCAACTTTGCTTATAAATTGAAGATTAGGGATCACCTTTAATCCTTAAGGATTCCTATAGATTTAGGATTAGGGATCACCTTTAATCCCTGATGATTCATGCCTAGCCAAGGATTACACATTCTTTGTGCCAAACAAAGAAGGTATCAACACCATAATTAACGAGACAGGTTCTAATTCTTCTGAAGTAGCCACTTTTAAAGCTGGTCGAATAAAAATGATCAACTTATTCTATTAGTAAGCATAGCTTAAATGCTACTAAATTATAGGTATCTATGTTAAAGTCCAGTTGTAAGGTGTTTGTACATTGGCTTATGTGCAGTACAGTACAGCGTAACAATTGCGAGATTCCTGACATGCCATCACACTACCTCAAACTGAGAACCAGTCTCTTCAATATCACGTCTCTTCTTTGGAATCTTATTTCTGAGTATAATTCTCCTCCGAGGATCTGAATGACAGACATGAATCACGGGCCACGACGCGTGCTCAGGCATGCGTAAAACCTCAGCCAGCACACCACCAAGCCAATGAAGGTTCAAGACAAAGGTGTAGGGGGTTCATTCGATTTATTTGTCGCAATATGAAGCCAGCATTAAAGAGCATATCGGATATAAATTTTTCTTTTGGATAAACACCAATAAATTTTAGCTAAAGTCAGCAACTTAGAATATTTTGTTGATTCAATTTTGTTTCCTCCCAAAAAGACAACAAAGAACTGGATAGTCACACCTGGAAGTGAATGGAATTCAACCTTGCTAGCCCAGTAGCCTTCACAGCTAAAGAATTCCAACTTTCAGGAGAATGTCAGGAAATGAGCCTCTTTATGTTGGAAAATGTGTGTAGAACATTATGTAACACTACACTTTTTATTTATCACAGGAAAGAATCGGAGGAAATCGGAATAATAAGGCTAATTAAAATAAATTCAATTGCGGTGTGTGTGAGAAGTAAAATAGAGATCATTTAAAAAAAGGATTCACAACTTTGTTGTATATTGCGCCAAATAATTCTCTTCTACTCCCGACCCCACCCCTTCACAGCTAAAGAATTCCAACTTTCAGGAGAATGTCAGGAAATAAGCCTCTTTATGTTGGAAAATGTGTGTAGAACATTATGTAACACTACACTTTTTATTTTCATAAGAACACATTTTATAAGAACAATGAGGCTGAGGTAAAATGACATTTTTATTTTCAAAAAGTTGGAAAACCCAACAAATCAAGCTAGTCAAATACAGTAAAGTATTACTGGAATGTTTAAAAAAGGTAAAACATTAATCAAGTAGGTGTGATTTTGAAAAGTGTGTAAAATGAGAACAAAATGTTGAGTCTGAAACTGGCAAAAAATTAAGCCTGCTGAGCCTGGGCAAAATTTTGCTGGTTTAATATTTATTTTTTTTTTTAAGTGTATAGTTCTTTAGTTTAGAAACTGTTTCAAGAATATTTTATAGAGTTGGCCTGTCAAAAATTATTTGTTTTAATTTCCCACAAATCGAACTTAATTCTCCCCTTGATAAACATTTCTTTAAAAATTAACTCTATAAATTAAAATAATAATTGCTCCTTACAATAAAAATTAAAAAATACAAATATCCACAAAAAAATTTTTTTTTTTTAAAGAACCAGTAAAACTTTTCCCAAGCTCAATGTTCTTATTTTTTGGCCAATTTCAGGCTCGAATATCATTGTTCTGTTCTTATTTTACACGCTTTTCCAAGACACAAACTTAATAAGTAGGGCTAACAGATACAAGACAGTAATTATTACTACATAATCGCATATCTACTGTAGGTACAGTACAGAAAAGTTTTTTTCTCTTGATTTGTTGGGGTATTTTTTTTCTAAAAAAATTTTTATTTTAAAAAACTATATTTTAAATTTTCCTCCAGACTCACTTTGTTGTTCTATTTTTTTAGGCAATTTCAGTCTCAGTATTCTTATAAAATGTGTTCTTATTATTATTTTTTTTTTGTTTTTTGTAATGTACTTGGAGTAGATCCAAATAGAATTTGCTTTTCAGGTATTCATTCTTCCTACTGGGATGATTTACAACTTTAAATACAAAGGTAACATGAACATTATCACAGAGGTGGTATTTGCACGCTCATTAAAAACACCAAACTAAAGCTGATAATGAGAACTTTCAACATTTTTGGTATTCCTCGGGGAAGTGGTACATCTCCACAGAGGCTACAGTAGACCTTCCTGCTGTCGCTCATTGACCTCATCTTCAAAGATGCCACCTACATACAATGGCCTCAACATTTTTTTTTTGGCAAGAATACACTAAAATGTCAAAGAACAGCTTAAAATTTAAAATGGCCTAAATTGCTAATTTTTTTTTTATGTACACCTTCCTTCCCGCTGAGGCCAGGCTCATGGACTCTGTTGAAATTGTCAATCCCCCTCCCTCTCACCCCCAACTTCTTCCCTCAAAGTGGAATTGTGCTCCTCAATAATTCCATTTGACTACAGCAACATTTTGGTAGAGTGTACCTCAGAGAAGGGAAAATGGTCATAAAATATTATTAAATTAAAGAAGTCTCACTGCAAAATGATTAAATTGATTTCATCAAGATTCAGTATTCCAACGAGAAACACCAATGCTGTGTCGAATCTATCTGTTCAGTAAGCAACAACACTGAAAAATGTACAGATTGTCTATTACTGTTCACAGAAGGAAAAAAAAAACAATTATGGTTTCAATAATGAAAAAGGGGAATTACTGTAGATCGCCATTATAATGGCTAAGCCTAACTGGTCAGGAAGCAAAATTAAAGACGGGTATCATAGCCTACTCCTCAAGGGCAGCTCCCAAAACTATTATAGTTTAACAATTTTGGTATTACTCAAGAAGGAACATCTCCACTGTGGTTAGGTACAATATTCCCCCAGCGAAGGGGCACATCTCCACATTGGCTGAGCCTATAAGCGACTGCAATCTACATTGTTTCCTGTATAGCCTCTCGCTTATCTTCATTACTTCCGATTGGGTATTAAACTCCAAGGAGACTGATAATATTATTGGAGGAAATGGGACAGTTGAATAACAAATACTAGTAGATGGGTTCTTCACCTCAAAACAAGATTACAACAAAATAACAATTCACTTTGTACTCTTTGCCCTAATAATTGTGACATAGCAAAAACTAATATTTTTTATATCTTTTTTTAAGCTGGATTTTTTGTACTTTTTATGTAAATTAAATACAATGCGAGTATAAAATAATTCATACATAATACAGTATTTCATTATTTGAATTTTTTTTAAATTATATTTTGTTTTCCAAGGAAAAAGAAGCCTACCATGCTAAACAGTAATACAAAATAAATATGTAACGAAAATAATACAGTTAATTATCTGTTGGTATCCGACCATATCTGTACTGTAGGCCTATATTAATATTAAAAATTCATCCTTTTGATATTTATGAAGGTACATAAACCTGTTTAAAAGGAATTTTTCTAAAGCAAATATTAGCATAACTATATATCTACATTGTACATTCTCTTTTATGAGGTCTAATGCTAGAAACCACATAGCAATAACGCCAACATAACATCTATAGAAAACACATGTAGCTGATTTATAGGCAGACAAACTGTTTCTTTGTCTCAGTAACATTACACCGCAATATCACCTTCTAATTAATTATCAGTAATTAGAGGGAGCTTAAAGGTGTTAAAAGCGTGTCATCAAAATAATTGTCTTGATAAGTCAAACCGACCAATGAGTCATAAAGGAACGTTCTATCCTACCAAATTTACGGTCAACCAAAATGCCCACTACTTTTAAGAAAACCCTCTAAAAATAACCAAATACAGTAACCACCTATGAATGTAAATTATTTTCATTATTCTTTGGGCGAGACTTTTTTTTAAATTACTGTACTGTATACCTTGTTTAGTGAACCCCTGCCT